CCCCCAGTGGCCCTAATCCTCTTTTGTAAAGACGGGACACAAAGAGTTTTATTTTACACAAGTTTGAATATTTAAAGAAAAAAAATTAATGAAAAATGTCATATTGCCATTTTATTGTTGCCTGAGGTCAGTTTGGCTGTGGCGGCCATCTTGTTTTGGGTTGACCAATTTAGACGTCAAGGATTATTATTTTTGCCCAGAATATAAAAAAAACAGTAGCTGCTGCTGCAGACTTGACTGACAGCATTGGTCGAATTAAATAAAAAGAAAACGCTGCGCTCCCACCTTCACTTGATGTTTAAAAAGTGGATTACGACCTCAGAGCTGCGTTTGTTCCCACAGGGGCGGAGCGAGTGGTGACGCTGAAGATGGAGATCCCTGGCTCCATGCCGCCTCTGATCGAGGAGATGCTGGAGGACCTGCAGGACCTGGAGACCAGTCAGGAAACACACGGCGTCTCCTCTCAGCGCACAAACCGCTCCGGTTTCCCACTCTGAACCTGCAAAATCCCACAGAGAGAGAGAGATTACTAACAGCATGAAGTGCAGATCCAGAGCGTCACTAGTCTCTCACCTCCGTTAAAGTCCAGGAATCTTTCAGAGCTGTAGATCAGAAAACCAGATTCAGCCGCGGCGTCGACGTCTCTGCTGGAGTAAAATCTAGTTTCATGAGGTCAAAGCTGCTCGGAGGGAGAAAAACTAGAATCATGCAGTATTATTTTAAACTCTGAGAGCCGCTCTCAGCCTTCTGTTTACCATATCTGCTTCTTAACAGTATTTATAATCGCATGAGTTATTAATGAAATAACACCTGCAGCATTTAGATTAGAGAGGTGACGCCTTGAAGGACGAGTCAAACGGGAAAAGGGAAACGAAAATGTTTATAAATTTGTTGAAAATTGGCCAAATTAAAGTAGGTGAAGAAAAAAAAAAAAACAGAAAATTAACGTTAGAAAAAGATTTTGTATTTCTCAGCTCTTTGGGCGTCAGATTGTTTTTTTTGTTTTGTTTTGTTTTTGTTTTTTTGTTTCTGCTGGATGCCTGACATAATTAAACACTGTCAGTAGCTAAATATATTTTACGACTTATTATCTTCTTCTTTGACAAATAAGAAAATTTAACTTCAGATTATAATGAAGCTTTTATTATCATGTTTTTAGAAAAGTTTTAATGCAAAAATACTTTTTTTTAAACAAGGATTGTGTAAACATTTATCAGATGATTGTTGCACTGTGGCACTGTTTTTGTCTCGTAGCTCCGCCCTGACCTTACATTATTTTTATTTTTTTAACTAAACAACTTCAGTTCCAACAAAACAATATGTTTTTTTTTTATGTAAATTTAAAAATCGATGTGATGGTGCTCAAATCTATTCAAACGTCAGAAGCCTGCCTCTCTGATGGTATAGGGGTGCATTAGGCAGCTGACACTTCTGGAAACATTGGATGTTTTCTCGGTTCTTTAATTTACATTTTTACTCAACATCCCAACATTTTTGGAATTGAGGTTTTAATATTTTACCTGCTAAACACATTTTTTCTTTTTCTTTATTATTTTTGACCGTGTTGGCGTGGCAGAAAAGCAGTGTCAAAATAAAAGCGCTGGATTATGGAGATTGAAGTGAAAGAATTGATTAAAGATAAATGGGAGACAATAACAGGAATGATGTATTTTAAATCAGATACCTGAATAAATGTAATTAAGCTGAGGGTGGACATAGTTAGAGATTAAATTTCATGACATCTTTGAATATTGACGTATTTTTCATGATAATAAGCTCTAATGAGGTCATTATTATTTGTTTTGACCTAAAAAAGAAGTACAAAATGTGTTTCTCAAAGTGCTTGTTCTTCTAATAAACCCCACTTAATCACTTAGTTTGTTCCAGTGCCCCATTTTTACTGTGATTTTTAAGAGTTCTTCCAAATTAAAATGAATGTGATGTCATTAAAATGCATTTCTAAACATGTCCTCTCTCAGCTTCCATAGAAAACCCTTTTTCTGCTGATAAATTTCATAAAAATCACATTTTTAATCATCAGAAAATTTAAAAATAACCAACATTTTTAAACATTTGTGTGTCCTGACTGGAACTGAATGATGAAACACCATATCCATTTCATTATTTGACAAAACGATAAAAGCTCCTTTATTTTAAACATCTTGTGATCTTTTTTTCCTTCAGGCAGCAAGAGAAATCTAGATTTTGAGTAAATGACATAAGAATTAATTTACCAGAATTATTTCATGGGTTGAACTAAATAAAAAGCAGAAAACAATGAGATAAATAATAAGTTATGATTTTGTCCTCTTGTCTTCCATACACATTTGAAGGAGATTAAACTGAAGCGGCAGAAAAATCTGATTTGTAAAAAATAGTAATACAAAGAAAAACGTGCCTCTTTAAATGTGCCAACGTTTTCCAGTACTGTTAGTTTTTTGTTATCTTCATGCCACAGACTATGTACAGACGATCATGTTTCATTTGTGATATCATTAAACATTTTATGGATTTTTTGTCTATTAAAGTTTTGTTTATTGAGTTTCACTGAAGCTGCTGCTTTTATTTCTTCTCGTGTGTGTGTGTGTGTGTGTGTGTGTGTGTGTGTGTGTGTGTGTGTGTG